CATTATGCAAATATTTCTACTTCAAGAACGATTAATCAATTAAAAAACTTTTCTCATTAGTATAGGTATATTTATTTTATCAAAAAAAAAAAAATTTCCATTAATTCTTTCAATATTATTCCATGCAAAACTTATTGCTAGATATATTTTTATAGCGTTTTCGTCGAGCTTTATCGAACATCTCATAAAAATATCGAAAATGGTTGTTTGTTGGGCGAACTTTTGAATAAATGTATTTTTATTTGCTTGAAACAATCACCACCTTACTACGTCTACATTAATATTAATTGCTTTTGTTTTTTATTTTTATCACTACTTTGTTAATATATATCTGTGTCATTGTGAATATTTAATCAAAGAAAAGAAAAGAAAATATTATATAAGACAACATTTTGGAGAAAGTTATTAGACGACATGTATTACATGACAAAAACAAATATGACGAGAAAAAATATGAGACAGAATTGAAAGTAATATACAAAAAAAAAAGATAGTGTTGCATTTTTTCCTATTCAATATTATTACCTTTAAAACGTGATGAAAATCACTGAAGGGTGAAGACTGTCGTAAGGTGACGCACTAACGAACGAACAAAGTATATTTCTTCTAAACATTAACGTCGATTAGAACAGATAGTAGAAGCAATGACCAGTCAAGACACATTATCAGTACCTCATGATTTTATCTGTCCAATAACTCGAGAAATTATGCAAAATCCTGTATTACTTATAGAAGATGTAAGTTTATTTGACAATAAAAAAAATATACATATAATATTAATTATAGGGTCATTCATATGAATTATATGCTATAGAACATTGGTTACAAAGTCATAATTCTTCACCAATAACAAATAAACCATTAGATGATCGTCGTTTTGTAAATAATTTTAATTTAAAAAATGCTATACAAGAATATTGTACACGACAAAAAACAATTTTATCTTCTAATCAATTTCTTACATTTAATATTCGTTATAGTCGTGTTCCAATAGCATGGAATAATAAACCTAAACTTAATATTCGTCTTAGTCTTCTTGGTAGTTCAAATACGGGTAAAACAACACTTTCTCGTTATCTTCAATGTGGTTTACAATCAAATTTTGTACATACAAATTCTTCAGTAACTATTGGACCTGATCTTCATTTTTTTTATTTGGATCAATTATATGATGATCAATATGTTATTACAATTCAACTTTCTGATATACCTGGTATGGAACGTTTTGAATCATGTTGTGATAGTCATTTTCGTAATTGTCATGGTGCATTTTTAATTACTGATTCAACTGATATTGATACACTTGAACGTATAGAACTTCATTGGTATAAACAATTACAATTAAAAGGAAAAGAACATGTAGAATCTATACTTGTTTGTAATAAAATTGATATATTTGAAGACAATTGTGATGATAATTATCGAAAAATATTTTTGGAACGTGCTGAATATTTTGCATCATTACATGATATGCCTATTTGTCATACATCTGCATTACGTGGTGATAATATTCAATTTATGTTTAAACAATTAATAATACGAATTCTACAAAATGAATCATTATTACAACAGATTAAAGAAAATAGTTCTATGTATAATAAATCATTATTTAGATCAGAACCAATATCACCTACATCATCTATTCAAGTTTTGCTTAAATCATCATCTAGACAAAATGATTATAATAGCAGTTCATCAGGGGATTGTTGTTTATTTGCTTGAGTTTTTTTTTTCATTTTAATTTTTTTTTGTAAATATACACGCTGGAATAAATATAAATTTTTAAAACTTCCAAAAGAATTCGTCTAAATTAATTTTATATTACTAAAACATACGGAAAGATTTTTTCAAGATGATTTGATTAACATTGGTAATCTTCGCTGTTAAATAAAAGTTTTCAAATCGCCTATGCGTCTACGACATGAATTAGAAAGTCACAATTGTATAGGGTGTCCAAAAATTATAGACCCCATCCCCCCCCCCCCCGCCCCATACATTCATACGATAATATTTATTTCATCTATAGAGGAGCAGATAAAGACAATCAACAATAGCAATAGTTAGAAGACAACCATGCTTACATAAATAGGTTATAATAGCTTAATAATATAAACCGTTCTTAATGAAACAAATATTATTGTATGAATGTATGGGGGTCCTATAATTTTGGGATACCCTATACGTATGAAAAAGTGAAAATGGTTTACTATGATTGGATTGGTAAACATCAAGCAAAATATGACAATTTTTCAGTAATAATATCATCTTGAGCTATACTTTTTTGATACCAAGTGTTTTTGATTAGCAGTTGGAGATTTTTTTTTTTCGAAATGTTTTCCCAATAACATCGACTTTCTCTCGATACTGTGAAAGTTTCTGAACTAGTAGAACTCAAAAATCAAAGCATAACTATTAAAGTGAAAAAATATTTGAAATATTTCCATCTGGCTTAAACAACTCATGCAAAAGTAAATTTTTCAGCCAAACTAGATCATTCATAAAGTGAGTCTTCTGACAAAAGCGATTTATCATTGAGAGAGGTTTCCTAGTAAGGCTCTTTGTTTAGAATTTAAACCACCATCATTAATATGATAAATTAAATGGAACTATGCTGAGTTTTTATATACAGCGATGGGGTCAAAATTTCAATTATGTGTTCATATGTACTAGATTGAGACTTATGAAAGATGAATTAACTATATTATATCGTAATTCATTTTAAAAAAAATTCTTTTTTTCTGATCATTCTTTTTGTACTTGAATAGAGATAGTTTGTAATGAAAGATACCAGCCACATAGACACTAGTAGGTAAAAGAACGACATTTATGCAAAGAAAGCTATTCCGGATTTGTTGTAGTTGGTTCCTTTCTTAACTAATATTCGTTCTGAAAATTCTGATGAGAAAAACGTACAACTTTCAATATTGCCAAAAAAAGAGTACGATAAAACCAAAGACATATTCAATTTTTTTCTTTTAAAGAAGTGTTCAGATAGTAAACCATCTCAAACTAAATAAAATCTAAGGTAAGGGGAAAAGTTCGCAACATTTTTCATATCAATATATATAGAAAAATTTCTGCGAACTTTTTTCAATAAATTATATCACAAGGTGCAGCGTGAAAAGCTGTACAATATCCATAAGACCGCTTATTTTTTAGTTGTAGTTTTTGTTTTCAAAATAGACAAGATTTGGAGCAATCAAATTTCAACTGTGCAAAAATTGATCACAGCAAATTTTCCTTTTTTTTGAAAACAATTACAATAAACTGTAGTGTATAAATTGTAGAGTTTTTCATACTGCATCTAGTGATATACTTGGCTTTTTTTTTTAAATAAAGGATATCAGGTGATTAAAAAATTAAATAAGAAAAAAACAATCCATCTTGTACAAAAAAAATATTGTTTTCGCATGGCTGAAATTTGATCGCTCGGTCGATTTTGAAAACAAAAAAGTGCAACTATAAAAAAACGGTCTCATGTAAAATGTAGAGCATGATAAATTTCAAAAAGAAATCTTGAAGGATTTTTTATTTCAATTGTTATAATAGAACTTTCTGCTATCAAAGTCTTTCTGAAAATTTCTAAGGATGTAAGCAGGCTTTAATATATTTTGCAATACTGATAGCTGAAGAAAAAATAGCCGCCTAAGTGCACTCATCCTTGTCAGATCCTATTGGATAGGGATCACTCTGATAGGATCCATTTACGTGGCTGCTAAAATCTCTGTTATCAGATTCCAATCACCAGATTCGATCAAACCTCCAAAAACTCCGTCAGGATCATATCGGATTGTTCGTCCTGGATGATGTCAAATAAATGTTTATTGAGGAGAAAAATCAAAACATGTGATAAGCCCTACATAAGTTCATCGAATACACTATCTTGTTTTCTTCTCAACTCTTAAGACTTCAGATTTTGTTTGTAATGAGCAACACTTATCGAATCTCTTGATTTAGATAGTTCTATCAAACTTAATTATGAGAATACCGCTTCTTTAATAGTTAAATACAAATTCACATTCATTTTTGTTCATAGAAATAGTTTCTTTAAAATTGATAACACAAACATTTTCAGATTCATTAGTGGGCAAACTGTTCTTTGTACGAAGTATTCATGTCGTCTGTTATTCATCATAAATCAACAGTTGACCGCGATTTATGGCCAAATTACGGCTCTACTGCGGTTCGTAATTAAGAAGAAATGCGGTGTAGTTATGCATAAGCATGTCGTAGTTACATGTGGTTGCACGGAGGAATCGCAATGATGCATAGTTATGATAAATGCATTGCATTTACGCGTAGCCACGGTAGCATGTTTCACAATCACGGGTC